ACACTGCAAATGCAACTATTCTTACTGAACAAGTCAAAGGCGAGTCAGAGGAAAGAATGAAGGAGTTGCACGCCAACGAGTCTGGTAGGCTTTCAAGTTTCCATGGCTTCAGCTTGAGGTCCCACGAAAAGCTCAAGGGCACGAACGACTTCGACATGAATTTCCTGGTCGGGAATGACCTTGGTAACGCTGTGTACTGCCAATGGCTTAGGCATACCCTATCAGAAGAACAATGGAACCGCATGTTCGATCACTCACAATCCGTCAATGAGGAGAGGGCCGGTGATGCTGTGGAAGTTTGCCTTGCAACACTCTACTTCACGACGCTATTCCCATTCGAATTCAGGTTTTGGGGGGATCCTTCGAGAACTATGCCGGTTTGTTTGGAGCACTCAATAAGGTCATTCGCCGTTTCTGCAGGCTGTCTCCCTGCGACCGGATCGCAGCGCGTGCCTCCTAGCACCCTACTATCACCCGAAGTGGTTGAAATGGGCAAGAGATTTGCTGCGGCCTTGGGTAACCCAGCCGTAACCATCACATTGGAGGAGTATTACCTTGTCCGAAAGAAGATGAAAGATGGCCCGGTTGACCTTGAGAAAACTGTCAAGGAAGAACCCGATGATGACAACGTCACGGACGTCTCAGCTGAACCTGGTGTTGCTGATGCTGCGCTATACGATGGCGAGGAAGAAAGTCGTGATGATGATGTTGCGACCTCGACCCATGAAGATGCTGGTCCAGATATTCAGGATGATGTGGAGGCGCCTGCGACGCCAATCTCCACCAAGAAGCGTCGAATTGGGACATCACTGGAGGAATTGATGACCCAGGCGGACGATCTCAAAGTCTGCGTTGTATGTTGGATGCATCATTCTGACTTTAAATGCCCTCGGTCCACCGAAAGTGAAGCATTGTACACTGCGCTGTCCCATTTGCTAGGAGGAGGAGCCGTACTGCGGGAGAATTTGCCAGCAGAACCAGCCCCGGCCACAACATCTACACCGGCGAACGAGCCTGGCAACAAGGACGTGGAGATGGACACTCAGGGAGAGAACGTCAACGACGCTCAAGATCAATCAGCCGACGCAGAGAAACAAGATGCTACTGACATCGAGATTGATGAAACCGAAGTCATGGAGGTGGACAATGAGCCTCCGACCATTATGCTAGAAGCAAAACCCCGCGCCAAAGCTCGTCCTACCAAGAAAATGGCTACGAACAAGATATCCAGTGATGAGTCGGACGGCACCAAGAGTGTTCGCTTCCTGGACCTAGAGGAGGATGTCTCTCCCCTGGGTAAGTCCCGGGGAGTCGGAATCGATGAACGTTGCAAATGTGCAACAACTCAAGAATCAAGTTCCTCAGTTCCTGGAATACGCATCGCCGAGACCCTTCCACTCAGGTCATTTCGTCAACTCGGAGACTCGGAGGGCGAGGTGGATTGGACAAGAGGCAAACCTCCACTGAAAGGGAGGGTACGAAGCCTCAAGATCTTGGAAATGATGGTATCTATATTCCAGCGAGGAACGAAGATCGTGAGGGAAATGATTTCGACTTTGGAGGAACAAGCCAGTACTTCGATCGGAAGAATGCACAAAACCTGGTGGCGACGTTGATCGACAACAAAACTGGTCGTGTCAGATTCTTGGGTGAGACCTATCATTGCTTGGGAAAGTGGGGTGATCGAAATTGCGAATTCGCCGGTGACGAGATCTACCATGCCGGAAAACGACTCTCCATCTGGTTGAGGCACTTGTGGCTGCGTGGCAACCATACGACGAACATTGACAGAGGAGGATGGGCCAACATTGACGAAGTCATTCAGGATGAAGACTTCTGGGCAGATGTCCACAAGGAGTTGCTTCGTCAGGGTCACGATCACCGCAAGGACCCCAAGTATGCCATTAGCTATGACAAAGAGCGCATGGGGACACAGCCAAGTTTGGATTGTCTCATGTACCACAGAACATGGCTCATAGCTCATCATTGACAATGAACTATGGAATTGGGGAAGGAACAAGAAGAGAATGGAGTTCACGTGTGCCCGTTTACATCCTGAGATGACCGATGAGCAGCTCGCAACTCTGTTGGGGACACTGGTCAAGCCGGTCAGAATCAACAAGGTCGCAACTGCGATGGCGTTTCCTTACGCGGGATGGGTTAGACCCCTCGCAGTCAGGTGCGTCTCAGGCCACTCAAACGGATCGGTAGACCTGGAACTCACAACCATACCAATTACAGAAAAGGTCATGGACGCAGTGGGGGGCGCTTGGCACATCACAAGTCGCTATAACCTCTTATGGATAGCGAAACAAGGCCTGCTTCCAGGAGGACCACGTCGCAAGAGATCAGACATACACTTTTCTGCGTTTGCTCCGTGGGACTCGCGCTACAGAAACGTTCGCCTTCAGATTCGCAAATGAGGGAGAGAAAGGGATGGTGATCTATGTGCCCATAACCATACTCAAGGAGATGGGAGCTCGTCTTGCCTCCAATGGCGTGATCCTTTGCCGTGGGAAGATTCCCTACAACGCAATTCAGGCGATCTTCGAGCTGGACGGCGCACGAGGAAGAGGACCAAGGATCCAGTCACCCTCATTGGTGGATGAATATGTGTGCGAGACGATGGATGGAGAAGAATTTATGCGGGCCAGTGGAAGGTACATCATGAAGATCGCCGAACAGTACAGAGACGACCTTCAGATACCATTCACATTCCGCAACAACGTTTCGTTGGCATTACAGAAGGTGCAAGGCGGACAACCTACGGATGCCCAAGCGAAGGAAATCGTCAATCACATTACCCGAGCCATATTCGATTCAAGCCCCAAATTTGAATGCAGTTGCAGATGGTGCCCGTGGTACCTGAATATTGTTCCTGCATCGATCATCCGATGCCTCATGTGCAACGCGCAGATGGTGTCAGTGGGGCGATTCATGGATCAGAGTA